TGCTTGTAGCACCGGTGCAGCTTATATATAAACGATTCCAATAATTTAAAAAAAATGTAGTAGCTGCAGCTTATACTGAGGTACGCTCTATAGTCTGGAAAATATGGTATTCATTAATTTGTCCTAAATTATGATTATTGATATCTTATACCTTATCCTACAAATTCAAGTCTATGTACAACAATATTACAAAGGTATATAGGTTTTAGCACTAAATCATCTTGATGCTACAAGTGCTGCTTGCATTTCATCAATCAGTAAATGCTTCATTCTGTTTGCCATTTTTTACCTGTATTACAGTAAAGACTCTGTAGGAACTTTAAATTTTGAGCCATCTTTCCCATATATAAATAAGGCTATAATGATCCTGCAGCTTGAGCTAAATTATTTTAAACTTTTAAATTGTGTCCAAATGAATATGTGTTTAATGTAGAAAACTACAGCTGATCAAAGATTAGTCTCAGTATTATAGAATCATAACTAGAGACTCCAGATTCTCAACAAAAACAGGGACATGGCCCTTTAATTAAGCAATATTAGTAATATATTTGGAATTTTATTTTTGAACCCCTTGAAAGTACTTTTTTCATGCAGAATTATGCAAAACACAGGAGGGCATCCAATTCCGCTTTGCAGCGAATAGATAAAAAAAGCCACCGATGGAGATTTCAGTCTTTGTCTCATCTCAAGTCTCACTTAGCATGCAAAAACAGGGAAGTCAGATTTCCCTTAGATTTACGTCCTAAAATTTCAAAACCAATTCAGAATTATTTCCTTCAGCTTGAGTCTGATTAAGTTTATTTTTTACTGAAAAACAAGACACCTTGTCCGGGGCCAGACTGTTTTTTCTTCTTCCAAGTTCTCGTACCGCATTCCGATGAAAGAGCGCCTTGGGCAGTGAACACTCACAAAACAAACAAGGTCAAGCGGTCACAGATGAAGCTTCCCTTTAGGAGATCTGAAGCAAAAACATAGTTTGGGCTATCATCTTGGCATTTACTTCAGGGCAGCCATTTTATTCCAAAAAAGCTTCCAAGTTCTTTATCCATTGCTCAACATTCAGATCAACTGAACTCGTAAATGAGATGCCAGCAGGAGCAAAAAGTCCCGCCACCTTCACAAATCGCCCCTGTGATTTCAACCCAAGCGTGCAGTTGTTCTTAGCAGTTAAAATGTAAACACCACAATCAGCATTTTAATTCGTGATTGCAAAACAAGCTGTAAGCTAATCACTGGGAAGAGATAATGAGGGAACCAAAAGAGAGAGTGAGACTGGGGAGAGAGTATGTGATTAGCTCATCCCTGGATTTCTGTTTTTCTTCTCTCACAGCTAAGGGCTTTGCATGTTAAACAAAGTGCCATGTATGCCCTGATAATCCGCTGTTATCTACAAATCTGTTGAGGGTGTTTTCTTTTCCTGTTGATTTCCCTGCCATACATTAGGCCATAGAAGATGTTAAAGCGCTGCTTGTGAGCGTTGATGCCCCAACAGCAACCTAATAATTGTAACAGTTAAGGTGATAGCCCTGAGCATGACAGGACCTTTGGTGAGACGTACATCCACAATCGACCGCTGTAATGCCTTTAACCTTTTGCTTCAGATTCATTACCAAGCTGGCATTGCTGAGAGGAAAGATTGAATGTGTGCCATTAGATATGATTACCTCATGGCAGTTCATTGTAGTCAGGAATCTAATTGTAAAGCATCGCTACATAAAGAAAAGCCCAGCCTAAGCTTTGGCAGCAAGTTAAAAGACACGCCTATAGCGCTAACCTTTCCTCGGCTGCAAGGTTGTGGAAATTAACTCGGTTTTTTACATAATAGCCACAATTATTAGAGCTAAAATTAGAAATTGGTTCCTTTAAAATGTTCAAAACTAAATATTCACTTAAGGTTTAAGTTGATTTAACTGTACACCTGTAATAGAAAAAAAAAAGAAATTAGCTTCCATTATTTAATTTCTTCTCAAGTGCAAACACAGAACAAAGGAGGCGTACAATACCTTGCTCTGGCCACCTCTTTAATAGTCTAAGGCTGCTATTACTGTTAAATGAAAAAAGGTCTTTGCTAAGCCACTCTTGGATGTCAATTACATCATTTGAAATATCAGCAGTGCAACATTACCAACACAGCAAAAAGAAACCAAGTCCACAGAGGTCTTATGAAATCTCCATTTTCCTTTTCTTATTAATATATTTATTACTGCATGAGAGTGAGGGAATGAAGACATTCCCTGTCCAATTAACTGCAACCGAATTACAGGATATGTCCTGCTTGGTTAGATCTGTCATGATATCAAAAATGCAGGATTAAAAATACATTAATTTTCCCTCCTTTAGAGGTTACCGCAATTAGCCATTCAGTTAGAACCATGTAGAGAGGCGTTTTCCCACATCTCCCACGCAGTTTACTGTATATCTTTATCACTTTCCCTACATGCATTACCTTTCACTTCCTTTTTCTCCCAGCCCTGCAAGCAAACCCACACATGCACTTCTTTTTTTGTAATTCTGTACTCAGCAGCCACCTCAGAACTTCCTTACTGTTGGCCCTCATCTCTGCAGAGCAGATGGCTGCTTTTCTGCACCACATGGCCAGCACTCAGGAGACGTGGGGCGCTCTTTAAGAAGAGAAAGACTTTCAATCTGCTTTAGCAACTGTAACCCCCCCTCACAGCCTATCGTCACATCATCTTTTTTTCACATGGCATTAGAAGCGACTCCTCTGTCCCCAACAAACACCACCCTGTCAAACTTCCACTGCAGCAATTTGATGCCCTGCTTTTATTCGGTTGGGGTTGATACTTATGTTAATAGTTCATAGTTATATGCGTGAGTCAACACAGAAGGTCACAGTGAGAGGTTATTAAGATGCTGCGTGGATGCTCGGTCCACTGGCCATGAACTCCATCTCAAGGCTCTTCCGTTTTCCAGCTTGTTTCTCTTACATGGGGGAAAACACTCCATATGTATGGGGGACTAGATTTATTATTCATGCTGAGAGTTGGCTTGAATGTGTTATAGAGGCGGGGCTATCTGAAAGGACAGTGAGTGAAGCCAGATTGGATGGAGAGGGTACTGTACTTTTTTTTAAGCGTCTTAATGATAGATCAGTTCAAACAACACAGACTGTTTGGCCTGAGGCCTGCCATGAGAGTGTAAATTATGTAGAGGTGAGTTTGTTAAATCACCTTGGTTTTTTAAAAGGAAATATGCAGTTCATCATAGATATTCATACAACCTGAAAATGTTACCTTTTATCACATTAAAACTCCAAACTAAATTGTATTTTATTCTGATTTTTTGTGACACAGGAACAAAAAAATACTGTATAATGACTGAAGAAAATAACAAAAAAGGTGTAGCTATGAATTTGCCGTCAGCTTTGTAATTTATTTATAATTTGACCAGTTTCTCTGTCCCCACAGCATGATAATAAGACCAATTGTTAATGATGATTTGCAGTGTTAGTTTTTCACCACATGCAGAAATTTACTTGGAGAATTGAGTCTTGCCACATTCTCCAGACCTAACAAAAAGAGTATTGCAGTTGTTACTGCAATCATTTCATGCTAATCCTAAAGGTTTATGGAAGGTGACAAAAAAGGCAGTCTCTGGTAATACCGAAATCTGACAACAAGTTTGCTTGATTTGTGCTTCCAAACTTGCATGTCTTGGAATTTAACCCCACCTTTTGCCTTTTGTCAACTCACATAAAAATCTGGGACTCTAAATTTTATTTTATTTTAAATGATGGTACCTCAAACTAAAACGAATGCTTCACATAAAAGCTGAGTAACTGGTTATAGAAAATAATGTTTGATTTAAAGAGTCATATCTTACAAGAATGCCTTCCAAGGTTTGTGTTAATATGATATTGGTTTGTGCTCATATTTGTTGTGTTACAGTAGGTTTATCCAAGGCCAGGCTGCAGTCTCAGCAGAGACTCCAAGACTTCCATCTCCTCAGACACCTCCTCAAGCTCCTCCAAAGGAAGCCTAAAGCATTCCAGGGCCTGCTGAGAGACATAGTCCCTCTGGCATCTCCTGAGGCATCCCCTGGGCCTCCTCCTGGTGGGACATGCCAGGGAGACATCAATGGGGTATCTATGACAATTGTTAGAGCCATTTCAACTGGCTGCTCTCAATGTGTTAGAGAAGTGGCTGTACTTTAAGCCTCTCATGGAAGGCCAGGTTCCAAACCTTATCTCTAGGGGAGTGCCCAGTCACTCTGCAGAGGAACCTGGGGTCTGGCTCTTGGTCATGACCCAAATTGTTTTGACCATGTAGGTCTTGGCTTGAGTGGGTCAGCAGAACTACGGCATCCCTATAAAGCAGATGTAGTGCTGGTTTGTATTGCAAGTAAAACTGTTTGTTTCTCTGTTATATTAAAGATTTAAAAAAAAGTTTACATAAGTCTTCAAAGGTCAACCATTTTTGCTACTATCAACATTGATATTCAATCCCTTTCACTTTGGTATCCTAAACCAAAAAAGTAAGCTTATTAGGAAATATAAAAACTTTTGATTTGGTTTAAAAGGTTTGCAGGAACATCCATCCATCCATCCACGTTCTGTCATGCTCATCCCTGCTGGGCTCGCAAGGAGTGCTGGTGCCTACCTCCTGCTGTCTATGGGCGAGGGTCGGGGTCCAACCTGGACAGGTCGCCAGTTCATCGCAGGGCAACACAGACAGAAACAGGACAAAACAACCATTCACACACACCCACTCACACCTGAGGAGAATTTAGAGAAGTCAGTAACCTAACAGTCAGGTTTTTGGACTCTGGGAGGCAGCTGGAGTACCCAGAGAGAACCCACACATCCTCAGGGAGAACATGCAAACTCCAGGCAGAAAGATTCCAGGCCGGGAATCGAGCCATGAACCTTCTTGCTGCCAGGTAGCACTGAGCACTACCCACTGCTCCATTGAGCAACCCCTCTGCAGGAACATGCATAAGAAAAAACGACAATAAAAGGATTTCTTTGGCTTAATACGTACGATGTGGAGCATGATGTAGTCACCCAGGCGTGGGGCGCTGTCAATGCGAACAAGGATTGCATCCTTTATGGTGGTGCTAAAGCCCACAGCCAGCCGGTCCGTCCGTGTGCTTGGCCTCTCGTTATTGGGCCATGTGTAAGTGATCAGGCCTCCTCCTTTGCCAAAGATGTAGGTGGTGCCAGCTGTTGTAACAAAAGACAAAAAGATACATTTATTTTTTTGACTTTACAACACATTGCTTAGTTTTAAATCCCACAAAGAGAAATAAAGAGGACTAAAAACAGAAATATATTAAATGTGATTATTTATTTTTCAGAACTTTAACCATATTTAACCACTGCCACCTTACAGGTAGAAGTCAGCATCTCCTGAATCCACATTTGGCCTATCTAGCTCTTAAAAATAGCCCCTTTCTTGGGAATAAGAGGCAGCATGGACAGAATGGGATACGTCTCCCAACATTCATGTATTATATATGAGACCTGCAACCAAAGAACAAAGCTTGGCAAGGGAAAATAGAGAAGGGCTTGTGTAGAAGGGCTTGGAAAAGAAATCGAAGAACTTTCATTGAGCTTAATTTGATAAATGGGTCTCACTAACAGTGGGGAATGAGGAATTTGCCAACATTACTGCTTTTTCATCATGCAGATGTGTGTCAGATGCGTGCCTCAGAAATTATTAAGCTTGGCTTGAAGCCATGGAGTCTGCAGAAAGCGTTCCCACATTTCCATTTTTATTTTTACCACAGCCTGGTAACATTTGATCATGTGGTTGCAGGGTTGGATTCAGTTTCAGCTTCTGAATGTTCCCTGAGGTTCATCAGAATTTAAAAAGCTAAATCAATGAGCAGCTTAGCCATCCAACTCACGTTTAGGCAAAAATAATCAAGAGATCAAAGGTATTAGACCTAGAGCAGTTAGAGCGCAGTAGCTGAATCCGTATGGGAGGCAAAGCCAAAGTCTGAAACTGTGGGAGGGTGGAAAACATTTGGCCCACCTTGCAGGCTGACAGGGGATCACTAATGAAGCCTATGGGTCCTTGCATCAGTGTAGAAATTCATTTTTTCTGCCTCCATCAACACTCTTCTTCATCCGCATCACAGCCATTACCATTCAGTTCCTCCATGAGTCACCTGAACATCTGTTTGGCCGTGTGATGGGTGCCCAGCTGTCTCACTGTTTCCCCCAATGACAAGGCCAACAATCTGCTCCATGGTCCGTTATACCCCAGAGACTGCGAGAACATATGGATGGAAAAGACTTACGAACACAGGAGAGACGCTCTTGGCAAAATGAGCATCTCTATTCGCCTTCAGGCACTAAAACAGGTCTGCTTTGCACACAGCTCAGGTGTCCCCACTACAAACCACCAGCTATTGCTGTCTATGCAGCATTAAAAATCTCAATAAGTAAAGCCTTCCAAGAGTTAAATAGCTGCTTCTATTTATTATAAACTGTTGGTTGATTACCATTTTTCAGTTGATCATGGTTCAATTTAGAAAACTAGATATCAACAATGGAAGTTTAAGACCACAAACAGTGTTTCTTTATAGCAATATAGTTGACTGCATCTTTAACTCGGCTATGAGTATTACGCATTGTTCATTAACAAAGCTAGCATCAGATAACTACAGGAGGCATTGGGTGAAGCTTAACAGGCTTGACATTAAGGGCTATGTCTATAATAATCAGTCACACTTAGAATTTTAGAATGATGCAGAGTCCTGAAGAGTTGCTATTAACTTGTCTCAAAAAGATAAATGTGGTAAAACTTTGCAAGATTAAAGGTTTTAATCCCTGATAAATGGCTTTAAAGAGAGCCTTACCCCCTTAGCCTTCACAGCAAGTGGGCTTTATGTAATGAAATATTACCAAAAATGAATAATATATTTAAAGGCAAACTGGTGAAAACACTGTAATTTTATTCATAATGACCCAAAATGATGATGCAAGCACGAACTGCTACAAATGGGAGTATGAATATCCAACGAGTAAGAAATATTGAGAAAAACCATACCTCAAAGATCCAACTACATATATAAAGAGCAATGGCTCACACAGAGGGAAAGATTAAGAGAGGACACCCTAGAAAGCCACTCTGGATGCTGGAAAAGATCCCTGCAGATTTAACAAAACTAATCAGTCAGAGTTAAGCACTTGATTCCATGATTCAGGCAGACAAGATTTAGCAGTGAGGCTCCACGGGATCTTGCCTCAAAGTAATTCCTACCAACCAGAGTATAAGCAAAGTTCAGATTCTGATTCCTTATTTAATAAGGGAAAATGCATATTAATCTACATAACTATGTTAAATTTAAAAGAGACCATTTTTCTATTTTCTTCCTTGATCAGCATAAATGATGGCCCCAAAAAATACAGGGCATAGCAAAATACAAAGAGGTATAATCAGATCTCAAGTAACCATTTATATCAATAGACACATACACACAAAAAAAAAAGATCGTGGAGAGAATCAGATAGAATTAAATGGTATATATACCTCCCAAATCTTCAGAAACTTTGTCTATTACAGTACATCTCACAAACCCTCTTGTATTTTCCTTCAGGGAATAATGATGATGAGCAGCAAAAATATAAGCACCCTGGGGAGCCAATTATCACATTGAGGAGATTTGCTTAGTGTTTCAAGAAGACAATGTTCACTACCAACACACACAAACACACATATACACCCAAACAGGCCGGATGATGGAGGCACAAATCTACATGGTGATGCTCTAGTAGGAATGTGTGCAAACACGCGTGCATATCTACGATGCCTTCTCATATGCAGTCACGCGAGTGGGTGATTATCAGCACAAGTGCGGAGAAGGCAGAGAACCTGAGATCGCTGGCATGAAGCGTTTTCTCCACTAACAACCTGCCGGACTTGGATTGCTCCGGATGAGTTTCAGAGTGGAGAGGAAATCAACTGCATATCAATTTGTCCAGTTTTTGCCTGAAAAAACACTGAGTAAGGCTTTCTCACTGACATACGCATCAAGATTCGGAAAGCAGTGAAGGATTGTGTGCAACATTGTCGGTGTAGCAGCCAGGCTAAACAAGCAAGGTCAGGAGTCCTAGTTAAATAACCTCACTGAAACGTGAGGGCTTTTCTACTCAAGGGTAGATGTTCTGAGCACCAACATAATTACAGTTCAACGATTTGTGGGAAGGCTAATTATGGCACGAGGGTAAGCAAAGCAGTACTTTAGTTTTGCTGGCATAACTTGCACATTAGAGCATTTAATCCCTGATGTACTGTGCAGCAGCTTGCAAAAACTATTCATAATTTTTAACTTTTTGAGATTTTGTCAGATCGCAAAACCTAAACTTTCATGTTTTATGTGGAGCTTAAGTAAGAGACCCAAGAAATAAAGTGCTTAATTTTGAAGTCCAAAGAAAAGGATGCATATTTAGTATACTTTTATTTATCATAAGCAGTATTATTTAATCTGACATGTATACTGTAATAGACTTTTATTTCTAAATTAACATTTTATAAAGATTAGCTTGCATTTTTGATTAGCCACCTTTACTCCGATACTCTGAACACATGATCCAGGCTACAGGATCATGCTATAGACCTCATGATTCCTGATCGGGAGGTGGTTGTGAGAGGCTGATCGCTCCTCGTTAGCCCCTGTACACTACACAAAGCAAGATCAGGCTGAAAGTTGACCCAATGGGAAAAAAATCAAACAGTGTAAACCCGGCTTAAGTGAATATAATCTGGAATATTTGATGAACAAACAAAGGGATGGCAGTCCCTTTGCTTTGAGGATGTTTTTCTCCAATCAGTAAAAAGAGTAGAGATGCAAGATCCATTTTTCACTATTTAGTTGGAAGGGAAAATAAACTGTAAACAATCCATTTCAATAAAAGTGATTTTCGTGCAACAAAAGCTTTAATAGAACCTACTCATGTTGCTCCAGTTTATAGATTGCCTCTTGAAAAGACTCCTCTGTCATATCTTGTACAGAATACCTCTTTGGTGTTGTGGTCATTCCTGGAATGATTTCAGATGATTACTCAACGATCAGTGTTTGTAAGACAGATATTTTAAATCACGCAGCAGCAGAAAATTCCCATACAGTGTGAGCATAAAAGCTTGGTGAGAGGCCAGCAGCAAGAAAATTGTCATCTAAAGGAATTAAATCTTAAATATAAAGAGAGATCTGCAAAAGGATCTGTATTTGTGGTGAATCAGAGAATGTTTTCATCTCTAAATAATAAAATTGTGTACAAGATCGTGGCCATCTAAAATGTTTTTATATAAGTTGTGCTATTTTTTTTTTTGACAGTAGAAGATATGTTTTATTTTTTTTAAACAACACGGGTCAACAAATATATATATTCTATATTTTATTACGGACTCCGAAGGGAATTTTAAAAGAACACTCACAAAAAAAAATTAACCTTAAAATATTCCAGAAAACACTGGGATTGTTTTTTAAATTCAAGCTAAATGCATAAATGCATTTGCCTCCCCCCCACATGTTATGATTCATTGCATCTGCAGAATGACTCCATTTAGACCCAAACAGGCGATGGGAGACTGGGTCAAAGGCGTAGCCTCTATTTCACGGAGGTCCCCTGAGGCGTGGCAGTGCAGACAGAAGGTCAGGACACCTGTCTATGGGACAGATATGTCCTTCAGGCCACAACATGACATAAAGCAAACCAGATTAAAACTTCGAAAACGAAAAAAGAAAGGCATTTACGCAAAAGCTGAAATCACAGAAGGTCACTGCTTTCAATGAGCTTAACCAGCAGGAAGAAATCTGGGAGAACCAAACAAGATGTCATAGAAGGCTTTGGAAACCCACCTTTACAGAAATATTTCACATTCATTGCATACTGGCATCTGTATTCAGTCTCTTTCCTCTGAGCATTTAAACTTCACAAGTCTAAGATGCTACCTGTAAGACGGCAAAAGAAAAAAGAAAAAAAGAAGAAGCAGAGCAGCTGCCATGATGCGGTTGTGTTATAACTGGGTAATTGGTTGTAGTCAGACTTCAACACCATGCTGTGATAAAAGCCTCTGTTTAGATGTAGCAGACTTACAGGGAAAGACTGGGCCTGCCTGTCCTACTGTAAAAGGCTGCTAAGAGGTGGTTGTTAACTCATTTAAATCCCGAATGTAAAAGCAGAAGCTAAATCTAAACATGGGATGTGGTGTA